TGAAAACAATATGATATTCTTTATTTATATCCTATGCCCTTTATTCAATCTTATCAAATTCACTAAAACATATAAAACGGGAGCTGGCAACCCTAACTGGAGGGCTCATACATAACATTTTCCCAAGTGTCAGTCCACGCCGCTGCCCGCCAATTGTCAATTAGTACGAGAACTGACCGGATGAGGCGCCGATGTAACTCAGCCCTCCCCTTCTTCTAACTTTAGGCTCCCGCGTCTCGCCTCACTCCAGTATTCTTATGCTATTAAATATTATGACATACCTTGGCTTGGAGGATAATAAAATTTAGTCATAACAATAATTTCATGATATAATCGAATCAAATGTATATCAACAATAAAAATATTTTAAGCAATATATTAAAATACTCAATAATTAAACTTTTAAAAAGTAAAAACTGACACTTAAGTACTAAAAAATTTAATAATGATTGTAATCGATTTACATGATAAAGAATTATTCGCTAACATATCGTGTTTTTTACAAATCAAAGAAGTTAAAGCATATTCGATCCTGTCGTCAGATCTTGACGAAATTTTATGAGGTATGCATGCCACGTGTGATAAAGAATTATCGCTGAAAATTCATAAAGACAGTCTATGGAGTAGCTTAGTGGACTTTTAAAGGCTGTAATTCAATTATGGATGGAATATTTTTTGACTGAGTTTCTTGCTGGGAGGTGCCGTGGTAGTTTAGTGGCTAAGCACTAAAGCAAATGTCACAGTACGAGAGAAACGGTACCAACGAAATTGTTAATTGCAATTTTAAATGCTGACTTACCACGTTCACGGTGGTGAAGGAAAACATCGTGAGGAAACCTAGGTATCTGAGAAATCAAAAAAATATTTCGAAGGAAGGAGCAGTGCGATAGACACTTCTCAGAAATGACAAAGGGGATGTGTTCAGTAGTTAACCTTTCTTACTAGTTTTTCCCGGGGTTATCGCGGGATATTCCAGGAACATGGGCAATTTCTCGAACTATTGGTTAAAGCATACATGACTATATTCATTGCTCGCTGTTATTATTACATTTTTCAGTGCTTTTACCGCGTGATCGACAAGAAAAACATATCTGAGAATTTGAAGAAATATGTCGGTGGACTCAGTCAAGTTAAAGCCTGTATACGTGCCACTGTTAGGCACAAGCCTCTCGTTTCTGAGAGGATCTTAGGGCAAGGAAGAACTCCACATCTTCAAAATATTTGTCTTAAATTTCTCAGAGATGTCCTCTCCGATGTTTTCCATAATAGTCAAATACACGGTAAATGCACTGATAATTAGTAAAACTATTTGATAAACAACCATTTGATTGATTTTTTAAGATTAAAGTCTAATAACGTCATAGGTTAGTCAAATCATGTTATTATTAAATAGTATAAATCTAATTCAAAATTTTCTCACCTAAAAGCATTTGTTTTAAATTGTAGTAATTAATTAATTTTCAAACTAAATACTATAATTTATTAATGAATAATTAATTAATTATGGTATAGTATATAGTAATAAACTATAGATAGTAATAGGAGTATAGTAATTTGAAGATCAGCGTCGTGGTTTTACCACAAATCATGCTATGAACGTAAACGATTACGTGTTAGAGCCATGCTGCAGCTATATTAGTAGTATGGTTGTAGCACGAATGAGTCGGCTCGACCGGGGAAGGACCACGCTCTCACAGAAAACCAGCGTAAAATAGCAGCTTAACGCTGCTGTGTTTCGTATGGTGAGTGTAGAGAACCGGAGACCCTTTTTACTGGCAAAGAGGCATTCCATCTTAGTCCTCACGGGCGACAACGCATCTGCATCTTGAGTCTTTATTGAGTCACATTAACCACTTACCATCAGGTGGACTGTGTGCTCATTTGTCACCCTATCCTATAAAAAAAAACGACGTGGTAGTGCAATGCTTTAAATTTAAACATTATGGTTACAGCACGAATGGGTCGGCTCGACCGGGGAGGGACTACGCTTTTACAGAATACCAGCGTAAAATAGTAGCTCAATGCTGTGTTTCGTACGGTGAGTGTAGAGAACCGGATAACCTTTTTACTGGTAATGGATATTCTGGTCCTCAGGGTGTCAGCGCATATTCTTTTAGAACCTTCATCAAGGTTAGATGTGGATGTTACGAGTCGTAGCATCCACTTACAATGAGATAGACTGTGTGGTTGAATGTCACCTTTATTCTATTCTAATGCGTTGTCACCCCTGAGAACCAAGATGGGATGCCCCATTTCCAGTAACAAAGTAATCTACTATTTCACGCTGGTGTTCTGTGAGTGCGTGTTCCTTCCCCGGTTGAGCCGATCAATTCGTGCTACAACCATAATATAGCTGCTGCTTGGATCTGCCACGTAAAAAACAGCCTGTTAACAGGCCGGAGTAGTAGGACATATATAGGCGTTTACTTTTTCATCAGAAAAGACTTTGACGGCTCCGTGGCGCAGTGGCTTAGCAATCAGTTGTTGCGCTGGGGGCCGCGGGTTCGAATCCCGCGCGGAACAAGTATTTGTATGACCTACAAATAATTGTTTCGGGTCTGGATGTTTGTCCTTGTGCAATTTATGTTTGTAAACTGCCTCCACGACACAGGAGAAAATCCTAGTGTGGGGGTAACGTTTTTAAAAAAAAAACGAGGTATAAAAAAAGAAAAGTTCACCGCTTGGATATCGGCCTCTCAAGTTGTTGGAAAGATTTGTATTAATGTTCACGCTTGGCAGATTATTGATGATTACACTACCAAATGTGTCGCACCTCTGACGTTGCTTTCCGCTGATATTATACCGCCATTTTGAGTACTTTTTTCCATAGCCGCCTCTAACGTTGGACTAAATAAACACATAGCATACTTTATACTATACTCTACTTCAACAAAAATTTTAAGAATGCATTCATTTATTTACTTAACATTGTAACCTGTAATAAAAAAAAAACTGAAACTAAACACTTAAACTATCATACAGTCCTACTCAACGTAGTATAGTGCCGAGAAATCTGGCTGCGTATCCTCGCTGAATGGATGTACTTAGCCTTTGAGTGAGAAAAGAACCAGCCCTCTTATCACCAACAGTGACAACTAGTCGCGAATACAATTCTTTTAGGAACTTCAACGCAAGTGGACCAATTGGAACGATAGTTTCTAAGGCCGATGTTATAAATATTGAATTTAATTTATATATTTATATAATATTATATATTAATTTTAATTTGATATTGAAGTAATAAATAAACAGTACATTTGCGCTTGTACTCTACAGGATAATTGGCTAGAATGATTACAATTCATCATTGCAACGGTTAAATGATTCACAAAGTCTCTGCGAGATCTCTACTATCTATAGATAGGAGCGATGTTAACTACTGGAGCGGCCGCTACGCCGCGCCGTGCTGCGGCCTACACGACTATCAATGAGTTCAGGCATTGTTGATATTTCGGTACAAATTGTGCCATAAATAAGGCATGATTAAGCAATGGCATAATCTCATACGTGGTAGAACGACACTGCAGCTATATTACGGTTGCGGCACGGATGGATCGGCTCGTCCGGGGAAGAACCACGCTTACACAAAATACCAGCGTAAAATAGCAGCTTAGTGCTTAAACCGGAGACCCATTTAACTGAAAACGAGGCATTCCATCTTAGTCCTCAGGGGTGGCAACGCGTCTGCATTTTGATTCTTAATCGAGGATAAATGTAGATATACATGGGCCACAGCTTCCACTTACCGTCAAGTGGACAGTGTGCTCGCTTGACTACCTTATTCTATAAAAAAAAATAGGGCACGGCTACAATTTAGCAATTGAAGCGTGTGAGGCAGGGCTCTAGAAATTATTGCATCTACATTGCTCACCCTTTTTGTACTTTACATTGTGGCAGGTCAGGCGCGATTCATATAACTCATCTTGAGCATCCTGAATAAGTATCTAGAGCGGTCGGGCCACTATAGACGCAACTTCGACCGTCAATTCATCACAGTCTATTGTGCGAGAGTCGTCAACCACGCCCTTAATAGGTTCAAATTTAGTGAACGTACCGCGGGAGCTTAGAAACTGGATCATCGAATTAAAGTTATCTATTTACAACTGTGTACATACATACTACGCGATGCAAGGGACCGGTATCTGGTAAAAGGAAAGTTGGAAGACCAGATAAACGACGGGCTGATGATAATACAGTATGCCGGGAATGACTGGGTAAATAAGAGTAAAAACAGAAAATTGTGGAAGCAGTTTGAGGAGGCTTTTACTCGAAACGAGATCCATATTCTTTTTTTTAATCGAATAGGGTGTTAAACGAGCACACATTCCACCTGATGCTAAGTGGTTGCTGTGACCCATAAACCTTTAAATATATCCTCAATAAATAATCAAAATGCAGATGCGTTGTTGTCACCCGTGAGGACTAAGATGGAATGCTTCTTTTCCAATAAGAAGGGTTTCCGGTTCTGTACACTTACCATACGAAACATAGCAACATGAAGCTGCTATTTTACGCTGGTATTCTGTGAGAGTGTGGTCCTTCCCCGGTCGAGCCGACCCATTCGTGCTATAACTGTACTACTAATATAGCTTCAGCATGCTTTACACAGTTAATCCTACAAAGAACCTAATATACTAATACTAGTACTTCTAAGCAACGTTGGAAATACTAAATGTAGAAATGTAGGTAATTAGAAAAGGAACAAAGAGGTTTTATTATAAAACTGTCTACGAGGTGTATTCAATGGTAATATCGAAAGAAGCCACGTACCTGTTCCATTGTAAGCCATGGTCATCACTCTTCCATACTTACGGCACAACACTCACTTTCAATCACCGGCACTCGGAGAGCCGATGTAATCCAGCGCCCCTGCTCTAATATGCTCACATCGCAATATTGAGTGACCTAGCCATTCACTGGAATTGGACGTACTTCCGACCTGTTTCGATGTAACCTTGCCGCGGCGTTCGGTTCGGGCGATAAATATGTAAGTGGCGTACCTCGGTCGGTCGCGTTCATGGCGGTGCGGAGCGATGCGTGGTTGTGCGGTGCGACGCGTGGCGATGCGGGGCGATGCGTGGCGGTGCGGCGCGGTTAGCGTGGCAGGCGACCGGGGACCTGATCAGTGGCGGTCGAGTGCCGCCGCTTGCACTGCGCCCGACATAATACAGCGGTCGCGGAGCCCGTCAAAAGAAGAATACAAGAGCCAATTATATATTTCCATACAATACACGCACGACGGCCGGCGGGTACAGTGCTCGAGTGCCTCCCACCGCGGCCAGCTCCCCTCCGCGCCATCCGAGCATAATTAGGACTTCAAGTACCATTGACTCACAACTGGCCGTTTAGCATATTGGGCTGGAAATTGTCCTCGCTCTTCCTAAATTGTGTTCACATCGCCTCATTGGCGCTGCTAAGCAACAAATTATTTCCTTAGTTAAGTGACGATTAAGCTGTTGTACAAGATATTGTATTTTTTAAGTTATTTATGTACACACAGTGAGTTCGTAAAATGGTTCTACTTATTCCATACTGAAATATCTTCCAGTAGACAAATAAAGGAATATATTATTATATTGAACTAAAAAGTATTTTGTTGTCTGACGTTAATAACTTTTCTTATTTAGAAACGTATTTTAGAAATCGTTACAAATGGACGTGTTAGTTTTGATAAGTTTATCTCTCTAAACATTACCATAATACCTTATAAAATTTCACTGCTGAACATTGAACTCCCCGCAGCTATTACTATTTTGAGACGTCATCAGGAAGATTTTGCCGCCAATCTTCTATTTTAGTTTCCCTCCGTCGCCTCTTACGACACCCACGTGACGATATGGGGTAGTGGATAGTATTGTTACACCGCCACTACACGGTTCTCACACACACACACACATCGAAAATAGATTTTCTTTTAATATTTTGAAACTACATAACTTTTTATAAAAGGATGTATTACGAAATAAACGATATCTTACTAAACATAGTTAACAATAGTTTGGAAAATCCAAAAGTTCACGCCTCATCAGCGTTTCAATTTAATATTGATGAAATAAATAAATTGTATTCCAGACTTTTAAAATATATTATTTACGTGTTTTAAATTTAGTGCTCCATTATTTTAATAAATAGTGTCACCTAAAGGGCAAAAAATAATAATGTTAACCAAAAACATCGATATAGGCTGTATGGTAAGTTTGTCCTTTGTCTATAAAGGGCTAAAAAATATGGTAACACCTTTAAATTTTTAATAGCAATAAAACTTATAAAACTTGAAAATCATTTTATTAACAAACTGCGTGTACCACGCTATTGATATGTAATAGGGAACCAGTTGATATAATTCTGAAGCTAATAAAAAAAACCCGGCCTCGATACGTCATTTTTTTCGGGAGTTATAGTGAACACATACAAAATCAACATCAAGACGTCCACGAGAAATTTTTTTCTGACCATTTTTTGAGTAACTTGAAATATCCATAAAATTATTTTTATAAAATATAAGAAGGATTAATTGGAGTGTTTTCTTGATATACGGCTACTCCTATTATCGTATAAGTGTAATATTGTTATGATAGAATCACTTTAAGAACACAAAATTGCTCAACCTTAACGTGTCGAGCGTAAAGCACTACCTAATAACGCTTTGCGTTATGAGGCGTGCAATGATATTACAGTTTAAGAAAACTTTACAGCCAAGTTTTTGCATTTGAGCAACAAAATTAAGACGGCTTCTAATAAAATTAAAATGTCATGGAGTATAATTAATGGCGAAACTGGTAAGAGCAACTCTCGCAATTCAGACTACCAGTTAAGTGTTAACAACAAATTAACTGAATCAGATCAGGACGTGGCAGTAGTTTTTGAGAAAGATTTTACTGATATTCCGATCTTAACCACTAAGTCACTGAACTATTGCCAGTAAATTATATTTGTTTTACAGAAGAGGGCCATAAGAAGAATTAATGATTTAAAGCCTAAAGAGTTATAGTGTAAAAAATTTAAGAAAATTAATATATTTACTTTGGCCTCTCAATACATTTATAAAAATGTAATGTAAGTACACAAAAATAAAAGTAGTTTTACAAAGATAAGTGATATTTATTCTGTAGATACTAGGAACAGACACAAGCTAGTAGTACCAGTTACTCGACTCCATCGAGTCAGTAATTCATTCTTGGGGCGATGTATACGCTTTTACAACAAAATTCCAGAAAATATACAAAATTTGACCTGCTCAACGTTCAAAAACTTTATTAAACTAAGTTTTTATAAAAAGGGTTATTATAATATTAATGAATTTATAGATGATAATAACCCCTGGAAATGAGGTGATCGCTACTATGCTATTTCTTATTTGTTGTGTTGTTAATTGTGTAACATACATGATTGTAAGCTTTTATTTAAAAAAAAGTCCCGCTGGGTTTCTTGCTGGTTCTTCCCAGGACAGAGGTTTTTTCGAACCAGTGGTAGTTAAACAAAAGAGAAACTTTAAATAAGTATTATTTATAATCTATAATGAATAAAAAAGTTTCTGTTTCTGTTTCTTAAATAACACGTAATGATGATGAGCTGTGATAATCCCAGTGAGAATGCTAGGTCATTAAATCATTGTATTGTCACCGGTTCTCAATGCCTTTGCAAAATTTCAGATTAATCAGACGTCTGAAAGACGGAATAATAATCCATATATACGAGTAGATACATTAAAGTTAATGTTACTGCCTGAACGTCTTACTCCTGGGCACAGGCCTCCTTTCATTTCTAAGAAGGTTTTTAGGGCTAGGAAAAGTCCGCCACGCTGCTGCAATGCTTGTTGGAAGACTGCACATATCATGTAATTTTCTTTCACCGTGAAGCACGTGATAAATCAGCACTTAAAATTGTAATTAACAATTTCATTGGTGTCGGCGGGTTTGAACTCGCACTGCTCGCGTACTGCGATAATTACAGTATAAGCACTCACTGTAAATATCACAGTACGCGATATATCTTATAACATATATCTATATATTATGATATGATATGATATGAAATCTATGGGAGGCCTATATTCAGAATGGATTTAAATATGCTGTAACAGAAGATGCTACTGTAACAGAAGCGGCCCCACAGGAAGTGGACCTGGTCGAGCCCCGACGGTTTGACAAAAAATGAGATTGACCTCATTATGACGACCAGACGATAACTGTTCAGTGATATCTCAGTGATCGCGAGGGTGAAAACCGGCAGCGATCACCGAATGGTTAGAGGCACACTGAACCTAAACATTAAATTGGAGAGGTCTCGTATAATGAAGTCAACGCTCCGTCCCCCTCGTGCTCTAATCCAAAGTCTCAAAACTTTTTTGTTACAAAACCGTTTTCAGTGCCTAGAAGACTGCAATGAATTGGACGATATGAATAACAAGCTCGTGGAAACTGTCCATCTGTCGGAACTAAGTTCTGCAAGACCCGCCACAGAAGAACACAAAAACTCTCCGATCACACTCTTAATCTCATGGCTATTAGACGGGAGATAAAGCTACATTCTTCAACAGACTTGACAGCATACAGGCATCTGAACAGACAGATCTCCAAATGCATGCGGCGGGACTTACGCAACTTCAATACAGCTCGTATTGAAGAAGCGATCGAGCGGAACCAAGGCTCCAAAGTCTTTGCCAGAGATATGTCTGCCAGAAAGAGCCAACTGTCAAAGCTGAAGACAGAATGTGGCAGCATCGTTTCCGGGGCACCTGAGATTTTGAGTAAGATTGAGAGGTTCTATGGGCAGCTGTACACGTCATCGTTGGAGCCACACTCGAGTGTGAGTAACGACCCAAGAGCGAGTCTTATCCGACATTATTCCGATGATATCCCGGACGTCAGTCTGAGCGAGATTAAAATGGCTCTCCAGCAACTTAAAAACGGCAAGGCCCCAGGCGAGGATGGAATTACAGCGGAGCTTCTGAAAGCGGGTGGAAAACCGGTACTTGAAGTCTTTCAGAAGCTCTTTAATTCCGTCCTCCATGGTGGCATTACAGCGGAGGCGTGGAGCAGAGGTGCGGTTGTCTTTTTCTTCAAGAAAGGCGACAACGCTCTCTTGAAGAACTACAGACCGATTTCCCTTCTGAGCCGCGTCTACGTGCTGTTTTCGAGAGTCATTACGAATCGTCTCGCGCGCAGACTTGACGACTTCCAGCCTCCCGAACAAGCCGGTTTCCGAAAAGGCTTTAGCACCATAGACCACATACATACCCTTCGGCAAATTGTAGAAAAGTCAGAGGAGTACAATTTGCCACTATGTCTGGCGTATGTGGACTATGAGAAAGCCTTTGATTCCGTCGAAATTTGGGCGGTGCTGCAGTCCCTTCAGCGGTGCCAAGTGGACTGTCGGTATATCGAAGTACTGAAGTGCTTGAACAGTAGGGCTACGATGGCTATCCGAGTACAGAACTAGAGTACGAAACCTATCCAATTGCAGAGAGGTGTAAAACAGGGTGAAGTTATATAGTCGAAACTCTTCACCGCTGCATTGGAAGACGTTTTCAAGCTTCTGGACTGGAAAGGATACGGTATCAACATCAATGGCGAGTACATCACTCACCTTCGATTTGCTGACGATATAGTCCTTATGGCAGAATCGCTGGAGGACCTAAGCACTATGCTCAACGACCTCAATAGTGCTACCCAACGGATAGGTCTTAAGATGAACATGGACAAAACAAAGATCATGTTTAATGTCCATGTCACACCTGTGCCGGTAGTTGTTGGGAGCACTAAGCTCGAAGTTGTTGACTAGTATATTTACCTGGGACAAATAGTCCGACTAGGTAAGTCCAACTTCGACCGAGAGGTCAATTGACGGATTCAACTCGGTTGGGCAGCGTTCGGGAAATTACGGCACATCTTCTCGTCAGGTATACCTCAAAACTTGAAAACGAGACTGTACAACCAGTGCGTGTTGCCAGTGATGACATACGGAACTGAGACGTGGTCCTTCACTGCTGGCCGGATGAGGAAGCTCAAGGTCGCTCAGCGAGCTATGGAGAGGGCTATGCTCGGAGTTTCTCTGCGTGATAAACTTAGGAATGAGGATATCCGCAGTAGAACTACAGTGACCGACATAGCCTAACGGATTAGTAAGCTGATGTGGCAATGGGCCGGCCATATAGCTCGAAGAACCGACAACCGATGGGGAAAAAAGGTTCTCAAGTGGCAGCCTCGTACCGGCAGGCGAAGAATTGGGCATCCTCCCACTAGATGGAGTGACGACCTGGTAA